TTCCAGCAGTCAGTTTCCATCGTTCAGAAGAGTTTTCCAAACACCCCGTGTACATGAGCCCTAAGTTTCTACTAAACAGAATTTAGCTTTTTTGGAATCCAGATACTAAGAGGTGTATTTATTAAGAGTTTGCATCACTGTTTTGCTTATTGAAATGGCATGTGCATTTGTTCTATGCAAATAGGACAAAGTCAAATGTTCTCAGGCTATGTTCTCTGCAGATCGAATGTTATTGAAAAAAATCATGTGAATGGGGAAGTACTACATTTTGGCTACTGGATGGAGCTAAAGAGCATACATATCTTCTATGATACACAGCACCATCTAGTGTCTTAAAGCGGGATTTCATCTAAAAGGGGGAGTTATGCTTTTCCTCCTCCTCTCTCCCCTCCCACTTTTGGAAACAGGTTTTTTCTTAAGGAGGGGGATGGGTACTTGAGTTTGACATGTGCTCAGGCTATGTTCTCTGCAAATCAAATGTTATTCATTGAAAAAAATCATGTGAATGGGGAACTACTACATTTTGGCCACTGGATGGAGCTGAAGAGCATACATATCTTCTATGATACGCAGCACCATCTAGTGTCTTAGAACGGGATTTCACCTAAAAGGGGGAGTTATGCTTTTCCTCCTCCTCTCTCCACTCCCACTTTTGGAAACAGGTTTGTTCTTAAGGAGGGGGATGGGTACTTGGGTTTGACATGTGCTCAGTCTATGTTCTCTGCAAATCGAAAGTTATTCATTGAAAAAATAATGTGAATGGGGAAGTACTACATTTTGGCCACTGGATGGAGCTGAAGAGCATACATATCTTCTATGATACACAGCACCATCTAGTGTCTTAAAGCGGAACTTCATCCAAAAGAGCAAATTATGCTTCTACTCCTCCTCCCTCCTCTGGAAACAGTTTTATTCTTGGGGGGGGGATGGGTACCTGGGTTTGACAGGTACCCATTCCTTCTTTCATCCAGATCATCTAGGTGATCCAAGCAAAAGTTCAGGCCCAACCTCTACAGCCATCTGGGGCACATCACGCAAACGTGCAGTGGGAAGCCACTTAGTTAAGTTCCCTTAGTTAACATGTTGGCGCTGGGGACCTGAAGACTGGTGAAGGATCAGGCTGGGTGAGGACAGAGCTGGATCCTTGGACAGATAAGTGTCCTTTTATTAAAAGCCAGCAAATGAAGGATTTGTAGTTGCTGACTTGTAATTTTTTGGGGGGGAGACTGAAGCTTGAAGCTCCTCTTTAATAGCTCCTTGGTGTCTGGGCCTTGGAGTCGAGCACCCGCATATTTGCGTCAATTAGAAAATACATATGTGCTGAGCATGCGCACTGTGCGCACTCCCAGCACATATGTCCATGACTCACAGAAAGGTCCCGATCTCCTATTTCGATCAGGACCGCTGTGGTGGCAAATCCTGGCGGTCACATGACCCTAAAACCCTGTCCGCCTCCTGGCTTCTGCAACTCTTAAAGGGCCAGGAGGCGTTGGCGTGAAGTGGTTAATTGGTTAAAGTAACGCAGCTCTGTAATGCAAAAAGTAGCCTGGTCAGGAAGGGGGGTAAATCCTCTGGAGGGTAAGTGGTTAATGAATCGGCAGCACAGTGGCTAAATGGTTAGCACTTCCACCCAGCTGTACTAGGGTCGTTGGTTCGAATCCCAACCACGGTGCCACCTGCCTGGAGTTTGCATGTTATCCCTGTGCCTGCGTGGGTTTCCTCCCACACTCCAAAGACATGCTGGTAGGGTAATTGGATCCTGTCTAAATTGGCCCTAGTATGTGTGTGACGGGGGTCATTTTGGGTGGGGGGCATGGAACCCAGCTCACTTTGGAGAGGTGGGGAGACCCCTGTCTCAGCTCCCCATATCCCTCTTATGTGTAAGTCACCCTGTGCCTGTTAGGGGTACAGGGTGATCTGTCTTAATACTGTGTAGACATGTCTAGGAGATAGGTGGGGTGGGGGGGGGGGGGTGTGGATTGTTTGGTGTTATGTGGTTGCATCCCATTGTTCTATTGTGTGAGAGCAAACTATTATGGGATATATGTGTTTATGTGTATTGGCTTGGTGGGGGGTGTCTCCAGCAGCTCTCTCTCCTGATGGGACTATCTGCTGGTGTGTCTCTTGTTACTAAATGTAGATTGCCCCACCCTGTGTCATTATGCAGGGAGGGGGGTTCCCTTGAATGTATATATCTTGTATCTATGTTAAAATAAACTAGTCTACTTCCTGGTTTACTTCAAGAGTGGTGTCATCTAGTCTTGTATGGTCTGCTGTGGTGTTTGTTGTCGGTGTTAAGAAGCGGATGCCGGAGTCTAACGGAAGTACCCAAGCGCAGCCTGGGGTCGGTTCCGTTACAATGTGTATGTATGAATCGGGCGGACTGACAACTCATGGGGCCCCCGGGCAATAGGGGATCATGGGGCCCCTGTGTCCTTGCCCAAATTCAAAAAAGCCTATGAAAAAGGTACCAGGGGCATCTCATGGGGCCCCCTATTGACCCGAGTTTCCAAATGGTCAGTCCGCCCCTGGTATGAATGTAAGTTAGGGATCTTAGATTGTACACCCCTTGAGGGTTAGGGACTGATGTACAATATATATGTAAGCGTTGCATAAACTGACGGTGCTGTATAAGTACCTGAAATAAATAATAATGAATCACATTGGATCTGCAAAGAATATAGACTGAGAACATTCGATTTTGCCCAAATTTGAACAAATTTCCATGCAGTATTCATGGATGGCCTGGCTATGCAATTCTATTATAAATACACCCCCAAGTGACGCCCGTCCCCTCATCCAGAGCAGGTAAGCCCATCTTCTTGATGTGGATTCGGTTTGGCACCAGAAGGCAGAAACATCTCCCATCCTTCCTTTGTGCTCGGTCATAGAGTCTGCGTTAAAAAAAAAACCCTCTAATTTCCTTTTAATATTTGATTTTCCTTTAAAAGCATTATTTGCCTAAAGAGAGTTAAAAAAAAAAAAAACAATCCACATAAACTCATCATAAGATATTGCCCTTTTTTTAACTTTCAAACTTTGCCAAAAAGTGCCATTATGCAAACTTTATCTGACACGGATCGTCTTCAGAAAATAATAAGCGGTGGCATTTTGCTTAAGGGTAGTCAATAAATCATCAGAATACAGTGCCGGATGTGTGTACGGAGCCATGAATACTAATATTAGAAGGCAGATGTGTGTTTGCCTTGTGTATTCATAATTACACCGCATAGGAACGGACTCCAGAGAGAAGTGGAGGGATAATATATGTTTTTAGCCTGGCCTAGATTCCCTTTATATGTTCCGCGTATAGAGAGGCGTTGTCGGTGATGGGACAAATATCATGTCATTAAAGAAATGTTTACTGCAAGAAGATAATTAAAAAGAATATAAAGGCCAAAACTTTTTTTTTTTTTTCGATGCCCTGAATAGGTAAAGTGACCGGGTCTCTTTAAATCTCTTTAAATCTTAACTCCAAGGAGATATAAAAGATCAGAAGTACCCTAAAGTGGTTGTAAACTTTGGACATGAAATATGAACAAAGCACATCCCTCTGTAGTGTGTACTTGTCTCAGTCCAGCGCACTAAGGCCCCATGTACACGGGGCACTTCTGAACGATGGAAACTGACTGCTGGAAAACGTAGGTTAAAAAACGTCTGTTTACCCGCGTTTATGCGCATTTTCATTTAGAAGCATTTTTTAAAGATAAGCACAGGAGAACCTCCCAAATGCCCAGAATGCACTGAAAAGTGGTAAATTATTAACTATTTCAGACTGTTTCAGAGAATTACAGAGAGTAGAAGCAGAGACAGTAGTATGTGTTGATATTAGCTTAGGTCTGAGTTGCTCATTACATTTCTTTTGTTTCCAAGGGTGGGAGAGGTGCCTGGTGGAGGGAGTCATTAAGGTCACCTGGCAGGGGGTCTTCCTGAGGAATTTGAGGTGTGAATGGTCATTAACATATCTTTTGTTTCCAAGGGTGGGAGAGGTCTGAGGTGTGAATGGTCATTAGCATATCTTTTGTTTCCAAGGGTGGGAGAGGTCTGAGGTGTGAAGGTGGGTCATTAACATATCTTTTGTTTCCAAGGGTGGGAGAGGTCTGTGGTATGAATGGTCATTAACATATCTTTTGTTTCCAAGGGTGGGGAGGTCTGAGGTGTGAATTGCTCATTACAATGTGTGACAAGCTTGGTAGGAACATCCTGTGTTCAGTGTTTTGTCCATCTGAGTACCTTGAAAACACTTTGCATGCATTTTTCATGATGAAAATAAGGCTCTGGACAGCATCGGGAACTGGAAGAGTTAAAAAACAAATTCAGATGCAAATGCTTATAAACGCGCGATTTGCCGCATTTAGCCACGTTTAGCCGCGTTTACAAGCATTTTGCGTTTGAAACACTGATAAAATTGTCTGCTGAACGCAAGTTTTCTGCGTTCAAAAAAAATGACTAAACTCAAATGCCTGTAAACGACGATGTGTACATGGACAGATAGGAAAACATTAGGGTGAGTTCAGGGGCTGCTGAAAAGAACGCGGAACAGCTCCTAAACGTGAGTTTATCAGCTGCAGTGTACATTAACCCTAAGTGTCATTTCTGTCTGCTGCTTCCTTCCTCTTTTATCAGCATATATCACTTCTTCAAGAGAAACATGGTGACAGGGGAGGGAGAGCTCCAGCACACAGCCCGTGATTGACAGCCTCAGCTCTGTTCCTGTGAACTTTGTGGAGGGGGGTGTGTGTCTCTTCCCTCCAATCAGCTCTCAGAGCTTTCACTGAGCTCTGCAGTGTGTAATTTCAGCTCTCTGTCCCGTTTTTTGAAAGCACAGAAAAGCTTTATAGATTCTGGACTTTGAGCGGCTGTAGAGAAGAGGGGGGGGCTGCAGGAAAACAGGTGCAACTTATGTAGGAGGATTTGTTTCATCTCTGTGTATCACCTTAAGCCAGTCACTTCACTGGGGATATGGAAGGGTTTGCAACCACTTTAAATCTGATCTTTGGCCTTCCCTTCAGTCTTGCACAGATGTACGGCTCCTCCCCTTCAGTCTTGCACAGGTGTATTGGCTCCTCCTTTTCAGTCTTGCACAGTTGTACCGGCTCCTCCGCTTCAGTCTTGCACAGGTGTACCGGCTCCTCCCCTTCAGTCTTGCGCAGGTGTACCGGCTCCTCCCCTTCAGCCTTGCACAGGTGTACCAGCTCCTCCTCTTCAGTCTTGCACAGTTGTACCGGCTCCTCCCCTTCAATCTTGCACAGGTGTTCCGACTCCTCCTCTTCAATCTTGCACAGTTGTAACGACTCCTCCTCTTCAGTCTTGCACAGTTGTACCGGCTCCTCCCCTTCAATCTTGCACAGGTGTACCGGCTCCTCCCCTTTAATCTTGCACAGGTGTACCGGCTCCTCCTCTTCAATCTTGCACAGTGTACGTACTCTTGCAGCTCTCCCCCCTTCAGTCTTGCACAGGTGTACCGGATCCTCCCCTTCACTCATGCACAGTGTACCAGCTCCTCCCCTTCAATCTTGCACAGGTGTACCGGCTCCTCCCCTTAAGTCTCACACAGTTGTACCAGCTCCTCCCCTTCAGTCTTGCACAGGTGTACTGGCTCCTCCCCTTAAGTCTTGCACAGTTGTACCGGCTCCTCTACTGGCTGAAACTTCTTCCTCTGATGTCATTGCACACTGTGAGCTTCTCACAGCGTGCATTAGAAGCTGTGGCAAGCCATACAGAACTCCGCCTCATTTCCTAGCTGGAGGATGTCCAGCATCATCTAGATCTTTCCTTACCCAGACTGACTTTCCCTGGTGCGGTCCTTTCATTCATTGCATTTCAGTTCTTTCAATCACAGAGGCTCAGCATCACATGTGGCCATTGCCTAGGGTGGTCCGTATGCCACCACATGGGAGTATAAGCTGAGGAGCCGGGGACTCGTTCTCCCAATAGAAGTATTTTATTAATAAAGGGTACAGGGTGCAAGTTACAGCAGCTTTCGCGTTTCGGTGACTATGCCGTGAATAGGGTTTTTACCGAAACGCGTAAGCTGCTGTAACTTGCACCCTGTACCCAGGGGCGGACTGACCATTTAGCCACTCGAGCACTGCCCAAGGGCCCGGGGTCAGTAGGGGGCCCCATGAGATGCCCCTGGTACCTTTCATTGGCTTTTTCATAGGCTTTTTTGGGTGTGGGCGAGGACACAGGGGCCCCATAATCCCCTATCACCCGGGGGCCCCATGAGTTGTCAGTCCGCCCCTGCCTGTACCCTTTATTAATAAAGTACTTTTATCGGGAGAACGAGTCGCTCTTCACTTTTTATACTCTCATGCTGATTAAAGTGCAAGGAAGATACTGTGAGCTTTGCAGACTGTTGGTCTACCTCCAGGGGAACTCAACCTAGGCCTACATTTTCGTTTGTACGCCAATACAAATGGCCTAGGCCAGGGGTCTGCAACCTTTAAGACATAAAGAGCCACTTGGACCCGTTTCCGAGAGGGAAAAAAAGACTGGGAGCCGCAAAACCATTGCAACATTTAAAACAAATCCGACACTGCATATATTGCAAAAAACGCTCTGGTCATGAAGGGGGTTTAAGGGCCCAGTAAGCAAAGGGTTAATCAGGGCCACAGTGTATCGTCATAATCACAATCATAGCCTTAGGTCAGTGGTGGGCAACCTTTTTTTTCGACTGAGCCAAATCTCGCCAAAACCACGATTGAAATTTATTTTGAGAGAAACATTTTTAAAACTGAAAATACATCCCCCATATAGTAATTCATCCCCCATAGTAATTCATCCCCCATAGTAATTCATCCCCCATATAGTAATTCATCCCCCATATAGTAATTCATCCCCCCTATAGTAATTCATCCCCCCTATAGTAATTAATCCCCCATATAGTAATTCATCCCCCATATAGTAATTCATCCCCCGTATAGTAATTCATCCCCCATAGTAATTCATCCCCCCTATAGTAATTCATCCCCCATAGTAATTCATCCCCCATATAGTAATTCATCCCCCATAGTAATTCATCCCCCATATAGTAATTCATCCCCCCTATATAGTAATTCATCCCCCCTATAGTAATTCATCCCCCATATAGTAATTCATCCCCCATAGTAATTCATCCCCCATAGTAATTCATCCCCCCTATAGTAATTCATCCCCCATATAGTAATTCATCCCCCATATAGTAATTCATTCCCCATATTGTGTGAATTCACTTACCTTTGCTCCGCGCGTTCCTCTCGCTGGGTTCCCGCGCCGTTCTGGTCTTCAGGGCGGACTGTGAGAGGAGAGGAGTTCGTCACGCTGCCCCGCCTACATCCGGGCTGCCCCGCCTACATCCTGACAGCCAATGTTTGCCAGCGGGCGCCCGGCACACAGAAGAGCTGCATTAAAAGAGCCGCGGCTTGCCGACCCTATTGCCTGTCACCTGGTGGGCAGTGTGCTCCGGAGCCGCAGGAAAGGTGAAAAAGAGCCGCATGCGGCTCCGGAGCTGCGGGTTGCCGACACCCGGCCTAGGCACACCCACTCCTCCACACTGGCATCCGCTCATGAAGGTTTCTTTTTCAATTTGCATTATTCCTCCAAAAATCCATCCGACTGCTCATATGGGGGCTGAGAGCAAATGATAGACAGGGTGCTATGATGTTTTCAGAAGGCTATGTGCAGCACCCTGTCAGTCCCTCCCAGAGACATGATATACCTACATTGCATAGAGAAGCACAGAAACCCAGCGATGACATCACAAAATTTCAAGTGTTACTAAACCCACCACAGTACAATCAGTCTGTATATGCAGTAAGGCATGCTTGTTATACTCACTATGGAACCTAAGGGGTTAATCATCCACATTGTGTAAAAAGAATGTTTGATCCTGATTTCTCTGATCCTCCCCTTTTTCCAGTGTCTCCTAAATATCTCCTGATAGGACAGAGGCTGGGGGGGGGGGGGGCAAGCTGCACATGCTCAGCTTGGTGAGTATTGCTAGAGAGTTTTTTTTTTTTCTTGAGAGAGTGCATGTGATCAGCACAGGGCCAATCAGCACTGTCCAGACAGGTCAGGGGTTCTGCATCCTGTTACAGGAGAATGAAAACTCCTCCGACAAGCTTTATCCAGTGCTCAGCTGGACACTGATAGAAATCACATGACTGCGATTGACTGCTGATGAGAAAAGGTATTTAGCAGTTTATATTTACTAAAATAATTGCATTTCCATTTTCTGTGTACTGTGGGAGACCAATATAATGAATGCAGGGAACCGGATGTGGCAGGTCCGGGAGACCAAATATAGTGAATGCGGGGTCCGGGAGAGTGGATATAGTGAATGCGGGGACCGTGGAGACCAGATATAGTGAATGCAGGGTCCGGGGAGACCAGATATAGTGAATGCAGGGTCCGGGGAGACCAGATATAGTGAATGCAGGGTCCGGGGAGACCAGATATAGTGACTGCAGGGTCCGGGGAGACCAGATATAGTGAATGCAGGGTCCGGGGAGACCAGATATAGTGAATGCGGGGTCCGGGAAGACCAGATATAGTGGATGCAGGGTCCGGGGAGAGCAGATATAGTGGATGCAGGGTCCGGGGAGAGCAGAGATAGTGAATGCAGGGTCCTGGGACACCAGATATAGTCAATGCAGGGTCCGGGGAGACCAGATATAGTGAATGCAGGGTCCGGGGAGAGCAGATATAGTGGATGCAGGGTCCGGGGAGAGCAGAGATAGTGAATGTAGGGTCCTGGGACACCAGATATAGTGAATGCAGGGTCCGGGGAGAGACCAGATATAGTGAATGCAGGGTCCGGGGAGAGCAAATATAGTGAATGCAGGATCCAGAGCGCGATATAGTGAATGCAGGGTCCGGGGAGAGCGGATATAGTGAATGCAGGGTCCGGGGAGAGCGGATATAGTGAATGCAGGATCCAGGAGAGCAGATATAGTGAATGTGGGGTCCAGGGAGAGCAGATATAGTGAATGCAGGGTCCGGGGAGAGCAGATATAGTGAATGCAGGGTCCGGGGAGAGCGGATATAGTGAATGCAGGGTCCGGGGAGACCAGATATAGTGAATGCGGGGTCCGGGGAGACCAGATATAGTGAATGCGGGGTCCGGGAGAGCAGATATAGTGAATGCAGGTCCGGGGAGAGCGGATATAGTGAATGCAGGGTCCAGGGAGAGCAGATATAGTGAATGTGGGGTCCGGGGAGACCGGATATAGTGAATGCAGGGCCCGGGGAGAGCGGATCTAGTGAATGCAGGGTCCGGGGAGACCAGATATGGTAAATGCAGGGTCCGGGGAGTAAATGCGGGGTCCGGGGAGACCGGATATAGTGAATGCAGGGTCCGGGGAGACCGGATATAGTGAATGCAGGGTCCTGGGAGACCGGATGTAGTGAATGCAGGGTCCGGGGAGAGCGGATATAGTGAGTGCAGGGTCCGGGGAGAGCGGATGTAGTGAATGCAGGGTCCGGGGAGAGCGGATATAGTGAATGCAGGGGGGAGAGGGGATATAGTGAATGCAGAGAGAAGATATAGTGAATGCAGGGTCCCGGGAAGACCAGATATAGCGAATGCAGGGTCCTGGGAGACCGGATATAGTGAATGCAGGGTCTGGGGAGACCAGATATAGGTGAATGCAGGGTCCGGGGAGACCAGATATAGTGAATGCAGGGTCTGGGAAGACCAGATATAGTGAATGCAGGGTCCGGGAAGACCAGATATAGGGAATGCAGGGTCCGGGGAGAGCAGATATAGTGAATGCAGGATCGAGGGAGACCGGATGTAGTGGATGCAGGATCCTGGGAGAGCAGATATAGTGAATTCAGGGTCCGGGGAGACCGGATATAGTGAATGCAGGGTCCGGGGAGAATGTGAATGCAGGGTATGGATATAGTGAATGCAGGGTCCAGGGAGACCGGATATAGTGAATGTAGGGTCTGGGGAGACCGGATGTAGTGAATGCAGGGTCCGGGGAGAGCGGATATAGTGAATGCAGGGTCCCCCCCAGGGGCGGACTGACCATTTGGAAACTCGGGCACTGCCCGAGGGCCCGGGGTCAGTAGGGGGCCCCATGAGATGCCACTGGTACCTTTTTCATAGGCTTTTTGAGTTTGGGCAAGGACACAGGGGCCTCATGATCCCCTATTGCCCGGGGGCCCCATGAGTTGTCAGTCCGCCCCTGATCCCCCCCAACTTTGAAGCACTACCGGCTTTGTTGCACTGGTATGCATATGTGGGAGGAGCAGTAGGGGGTTAGCAAGGAAGGGAATGTGATCTACCAGTCACCTGCCCATGACCGTCAGGTAGATCGTGATTGACGGGTTACTGTCCCTGATCCAAACCTTAAGGTAACCTTTGTGTGGCAGAAACACATGCAGAATTGCGCACTTTCCCAGCATGCAGAAAAACACACTGCCATTTAGCGGATGCATGATGGGGCCATTATTCCTTTTTGCACACGCCAAACTGCATGGGGCCACAGCACCATGTGGTTCAGTGTAGCACGTTTTTTGGAGAAGAGTCCAGGACTTCTTTTTGCTGTTTCTTGCACGCAGGGTAGCTCATTAAAATGAACAGAGTGCCCTACATGT